ACAACAGTTCGTGCAGTTTCAGTGTCGTTACAATTTTCAATCTGTGCTTTTTATTAAAAACGGCTTCTTAAAAATGCAGTGGATTTCGGAGGCTTACACAGAATTACTGAGAAGTGCGTGTTTTATCGCATCAAATGCTGTTTTTGGTTAAAGTTTTAATCCTGAAAGTCTACTCTCACTCAATACTTTTTACATTTAATCTGGAATGTCTTGGAACATTAGTCAAACCCATTGAACTAATCCAACATGTTATCACATTACAATCACAAACTTCAATATTTGATCTTTTTTAAACCTTTAATTCATCAGGAAATCCCACTCAACCTCTTCTACAAGGGAAACCGGGTCAAGGAATTTACCAGGAAAATAAAAAGATATTTAAAAATCATGTTCATACCACTCAGTAAACAGCAAGGAAGAGTGACAACTGTTCAAACGCAGTCAAGTAAAATCAGGGACATTCCTTCTTCACTGCGTTTTATAATAATCTCGAAACATGAATCATTGTATATTTTTAATGCAGAAAGTATACCTGTGCCCGCAGGAACACTGTAAAACTTCTTTTTGCATTTTTTTTTCAGTTGGTAATGTTTAGCAGTGACGTATGTATTACAACATTTCCACGTAACGAAGCTTCCCGGAAATTCTGCGCTGCAAACAACCCAAATGCTAAAACACACGTGCCAATCCCAACAAGGCTGCTGTTTATGTTCATTAAATATTTGGAAGAAGGGCCCATGCAGACTCAACGACTTTGTTTACTTCCACCACTGCCACTGTTAAAAAATACCATTATAGATTCACTACAATTCTAAAACAATGTTCCAAAACTCACAACTTCTCCTTATATTCCCTGATTGGCCAGGTTAAAATTCAACCACAGAAATTTAGCCCAATGAAAGACATTCCAGATGTAGGACTTCAGGGAGATGAGAACGGTGTAGACAACGGCCAGGACAGTGACTCAAGAGTTGATTAAAAGCACACTCCACACTTTTCAGACTTTTTAAAACAAAGAAAAACATTTTCAAAACCACACATTATGCTGTTTTACATTTATTGTTCGATGTTTTGTTAGCCTGTCATTTAAAGTCCTACTAAAATATACTAAAGTTTACAGCTATAACAAAATGTGAATATGTTCAAGGCGTATGAATACTTCTATATTGTACTTTAGTTTAGCTTTGGGCACAACAATTCTAGTAAATTGCAACTGGCACAGGTTCAAAATTACCTGATATTATACATATAACTCAAGCACAAGATAATGCAACTTTAAAGCAACCTTTTATATACACTTACCCTGCAGAGTGAAAAATATAACTGTTCAAAGGTTAAGGGGGTAAGGTAGAGTCTGACACTAACCGGTCCTGACTGTTGTTTTTACACTGAAACTGAGGTCACGTCAGATGATATATTATCTCTACAAACAAGAAACTGCTGAGGAAAAGTAGGCAGGAGGGAAGATTGTATTACAAGAAGATTTACAGATTTCATTTACAGTCAGAGCAGCATGAACCGGTCATGTTTAATTGGACTTTTGGAGTTGATAAACATTGTAAAGGAACTAGTGGACCATATTTACAGCAGCTAACAGAAACTTTGAATGTCGTAATTTAGTTTATGTTCTCCTAACTCTTAAAGAATGAGCTGCACTTAGAACTAACAAATCTGAAACGTTGTTTTTTCTCCAAACAATGGCCTAAAACATCCCTTTTGTTAAATCTTGCATACTGTGCTGGATTTATTGACAACTTTAATGCAGACGGATATAAGACATGGAGTCCTCTTATCTATCACTGACCACCAATATTTAAATAATATATAATCAATAGTTTGTTAATTAAATATCTAACAAAACCATTGTTAAAGTAGCATTTCTGCAAGTTTTTCCAACCTGAATATTTTTTTTTTCTATATAATTTGAATTAGGAGCTACAAGAAGTTTGGGGAAAAAAAGCTATTCATGTCTTGGTTTTGGAGCTCTTAGCATCACCTTAGTTTACTTATGATTTGGTCTGGCTCTGCTAGCCAGACGTTTAGCATTTAAACCATGCAGAACATATAATTTAGTAGGAACCTTTCACCTCTCCACTTGACTCATCTGTATGACAAATGACGTAGTTTTTTGTTTGTTTGTTTTTTGCAAATGATAGGTTGTAAATTTCTAAAAGTCATTTATTAAGTTTATTTCTCATTAGCTGTTGTTCTACCCTTTGGTAAACCCTTCATGCGTCAGCATGTCTAACAAGAGGATAAGTCAGCGTGAAACTGTTACTTGTATGTACATACTATAAAGTTTGGATGACGCACAAAGCCAGGCAGACTTTGACTGTGCAGATCATCACCTTTGAGAGACGTCCAAGTGGCTGCAACTGTGTGAGTCTTGTTAATCTTTGACTCAAATTTGACCCAGAATCTTTGACCCAGATTAAAATGTAAAATCTCAGTTGGATTACATAGAAGCTTTACACATTCAGGATTGTATTTTGGACATATTCTCTTTGTTCATTATATATCCTTACTAAAGCTTTTGTTTGTTTCCATCGCACAGACTCAACCACTGGAGGCTATGGTTTAAAAACAAATCCTCTTCATTGGGCGCTTAGATTTAACTGCTATAACTTTACATATTTCTGTGCATCCACTTGAACGTTGCACAAACAAGCCCATCAGTGGGCTTCACACATTTTAATCTGGGATTTTGTTATTTTTATTGCTCCATAACAAAAACATTTTGAGATAATGAAATAAAACTGCAACAGAAGATCACCACTTTCTTTGCAGCAAACCTTTAAATGAGGTATAAATGAGGACACTGACACTTTGTAGCTCGTCGTGCTCTTCGGGGTTTTCGTTTTTGTTTTGTTTTTTTGCTTCCTGTAAAGTGAGCGTCAGTCTTTCCCGTCTTAGCGGCGCACAAATGTGTCCTGAAAGTCAGAATGTGAGAGTAAATTCAGTTTTTACCATTTCCATTCAGCTGGTACACCGGCAGATTTCTCCCTGTTGGAAGAAAGTAAACAAGGAAGTTGCGTCGAGCGAGAAAGTAGTTCCCAGCAACCAACAGAATAATCAACGTGAACTGTGATCGCCATCATGTGGGGAAAATGTGGAACTGCACCCTTTGTAACCAACGATGTCTGTAAATTTAATAGACAACTGGTTTCTTTTGTTGATCTCTGTCGAAAAATCAAGAATAATACGCCCATGGCAGACAGAAATACGTTTTTAGCAACGAAAGATTTCCACAGGACTACTGAAAGTTGTCTTGTTGTTCAGGTCTTTAATGAAATCTCTTTCCTTTTTCTTAAGACGTGAATGTCAAATACTGGTCCTGATGTTACTACATGGTTAACATTTCATTTTGCCTTTGTGTTTTCACTTTCTTCATGTTTTGGAGTGTTCATGGCACAATGCATCACGGTCAGTCAGGAGCAAAGACGCTTGAAAATTGTAACATATATGTCAAACCTGCACTAGATCATTCTACAATCAAGACTGATTGCTTCTATGATGGTAAATGTGATTTTTTTTGTTTGTTGAGATTCTATTTTTGACACTTAGTGAAATCTAATTCTAACTACCACGATATTTAAAGAACGATCTCAGACACTGCTTTCGTGCATCAGAATGTAACAAATAGCTAACAAATATGTCAAGTTGTATTTGTTTAATAGCCCATTGTGAAAGGCATACTATTGTGCAAGTGTGCGCAAGGCAACAGCGTGACTCAGTAGAATAAGCATTATCTAACCAAAACACAGAGGGTGGAACCACACCAGCCTTTATGGTCACCACCTCGTGTAATTTTACACATTATGGATGTACCATTCGCACACCCACGTGTGTGCCCTGTTTTTATTAATCTGGCACACTGGCCCAAGGAAGGTCCAGTACAGCATGTTCCAGTCTGTGAGCATAAAGCAGAGGCTGCCAGTCTCATATGACACAACAGGATCACATTTACCACCAGGCAGTACAATAACAAGGTTCAAGAGTTTAAACTTAGCTACAGAGGGCTGAATTATTTTTGGAGAATTAGGAAATCCATGCAACAGATTTTCCAGATGTATTCCATCTTTAAAAAACTAAAATAATACAGTATGTCATCAGACAAACTCAGCCATTTGAAAATTGCTGACCCAATTACAGTATATCTTTGCAAGACACAAACAAGACCAACTCAGTTTTATTTTTACTCTTTCCCAAAAGATCCTTGTGGCTCAAAACTTTGCTTTTATCAAACCAAAGCATTCTCCCACACAGCTTTCGGTAATTTAAGCCAGGGTCGAAGGGCTTTTGTTTGGGACTTGTTAGTCCAGAAAATGAGAAAAATTATTGTTGTCACATGTTGAACACAACCAGTAGTAAACTGAACATTCTGCAGCTATTTCAGTGCTGCTGCCTGCTTCTTGGCAGTGTCCATCCAGTGAATGCAATATCATAGTTTTCATAGTTTGTTGCAGTGAAGACATAAGAGAGGTGGTTGGTACACTTTGTGACATTTTTGACAGAAAAATGCTGTGCAAATATAATCAAATTCAGAATCAACTTTAGTTGCCAAATTTGTGTGTGCAAAAAAGTAACTGACTTAATTTAAACTATAAATGTACTTAAATATATCCATCCATCTGTCCATTCATTTTCTGTTCACCCTTGTCCGTAGCGGGGTTGGGAGTTTCTGGTGCCTATCTACCAGCTAGAGGCGGGGTACACCCTGGACAGGTCGCCAGTCTGTCGCAGTATATTTTTTTGTACTTATTTATACTTCTTGTACTTATAGTATTTCTAGAACTTGAAATACTTCTTAAATACCATTACCTATTTACATCATGTCATGTGGTTCTACGCATAACGTCATCATATTTAGCTTGTATTTATTTACACTCTGAGTATGGGTAGCTCTCCCACACTTTTGAAAACACCCAGGCCTAAATTTACTTAAAAAAAAAAACATGAAAGAAAATTAGTAAAATTAAATAAATAAAAAACTTCTACCCTTTAAAACAGAATTATTTATTTTCTTTTCATTAGGCATTAATAAGCATGTTACTGTGTACATTTCTGTAGTTTCAACATGGACTTTATAAGACTTCAATCTTCAACTGATTTGATTGGATTGAAGGTTGTTGAAATCCTTGAGGGTGGAAAAATACATGCATTGATCCAACTCTGCAAAGAAGCTCACAAAAGCTGATCTACACAAAGAAAAATAAAACTATTTCCCTGTTTGCATAAATCACATCTTATGCAAACATCCCACGCATTATACTTAGTGTTTGATAGTAATGCTTTTCACCTCCGTAAAGAAGTGATAGGAATCTTTGCCTCCCTCCCTGCCCACACCGGAGTGTTTCATTCCTCCAAACGGCAGATTCAGATCTCTCACCAACCAGCAGTTGGTCCACACTAGCCCAGCTTGAAGCTTCTGGGCCAAACGGTGAACTCTTCCCACATCCCTGGACCACACAGTGGCTGACAGGCCGTAGCGGACTCCGTTTCCCCTGGCAACAGCCTCATCCTCCGTGTCAAAGGGGGAAACACAAGTGACGGGGCCGAAGATCTCCTCCTGCATGACCCGGGAGCTGTCAGGGATGCCTGAGATGACCGTAGGAGGCATAAAGTAGCCAGACTTGTTGGCTTCAGGAAGGTTTAGCTGGTCAACTCCTTCACCACAGTGGATTATAGCTCCTTCTGATTTGGCAAGTGCCACAAAGCTGCGAACCTTGTGAGTAAAAAAAAAAAAAAAAGTTTCATAATAAAGCATGCAGAAAAAATACAGAAAAGAAATGAACAGCTCACTTTCTCTAGGTGCTCTTTGCTAATGAGAGCTCCGTTGTTGTTGCTTGGGTCAGATGGAGCGCCAGTCTTCCACTTCCGAGCTGCGGCTACAAATTTCTCCAGAAATTTGGAGTAAATGCTGCTCTCTACATAAATTCTACTAGTGCACAAGCAAATTTCTCCCTAGAATTAGAAAATGGAAAAGAAAGTGAGGAATTTCATTTTTAGAGACGTAGAGTTCCCATCAACCATCAATATTACTAAATGTGAGCTCTCAAATTTGGACACTCATACCACAGATTTCCAAAGTACATGAAAATAATTACAATCTGTCTTTGGTGTAAACTGCATTCAATATGTCACAGTAATGTTACTTTACTTTTGTTGTCCACTGGTTTATAATATCAAGTCATTTTCCCAAAACAAATTAATTACACTGTTTTGGAATGTATTCTGAATCTGAATTTTGGGCTTGTATAAATTCTCCATATAATTTTAGGCTAAAAGTATATGGAGAAAATTGTACAAACAAAAATATTTCAGCGTCTTAAGACCATCTTCATCATGATTCCCTCACCTGATTGGAAAAGCTGGAGCGAACGGTTGTCTCGATGCACTGCTCCAGGTCTGCATCGGCAAAAATAATGGCTGGGTTTTTCCCCCCCAACTCCAGGGAGAGCTTTTTACAGTACGGGGCGCTCCGCTCTGTGATGCGTTGAGCAGTTGCAGTGGAGCCAGTGAAGGAGATCAGCGGGACATCTGGGTGGCCAACTAGGGCGTCTCCTGCTCTCTGACCAGTGCCAAACACAACATTGACCACACCTGGAGGGACGCCTGCAGAACAGAAAGCAGAAATAATTAAAAAGAAGGTAATTGATATGAGAAAATCTTAAGTTTATGATATGTAGTCCTACCAGCTTCCTCCAATAGCTTGCACATCATCCACGCAGTCACAGAGGTCATCTCGCTCGGTTTGGCCACTACCGTGTTGCCCGTGGCGATTGCCGGTGCAATTTTCCACGTCAGGAGGTAAAGAGGGAGGTTCCAGGGACTGATCAAGCCAGCTAAGCACACGACAATTGCAATCTAATAACACCGTAAGGCAAGCAAAGGCTTTGCAAGTTTTGAGGGAAACAAGCCAAACTCTCACCAACTCCAACTGGGCAGCGTAAGGTGTAGTTCAGGCAGCCCATGTGGTCCATCTGGCTGCAGTCGGTGGTGTGGTGGAGCACAGACGATGCAAAGAAGCGAAAGTTGTACGCAGACCTGGGTATGTCCACAGTCCGAGCAAATGTCACAGTTTTACCTGCAGAGTTGAAGTAAAACTTGCCACCAGTACTGGCTTCCTTCGTGTAGAACACAAATCAAATCCTGATAACCCAAATTGTGCGAGAAGTATCACTATCAGTATATCTAAATAACTTAATATTGCATGCTCAATATTGTATGCTATAAAACAGCACTAGATGTTTTACATTCTATTTACATACGTCATTATTAGTGTAATAATGATCTATGTTATTCCTGGATCTGGCTCAAGACAAGTATTTTGTCTTTGCTTTAGTTATTAATTATATATTTTTAACTTTTGGCCATACTGTGATCATGTAGTAAGGAGGTGAATTACTATTTTGAAAACAGGGGCTAATATATGAAGTGAATTATATAAACCTCCTCCACCAGTTGCACAATAAAGACACCCCAAACAGTCTATTGTCGAACTTGTCATTACCATACCCTTAATTATGTAGTGCAATCTTAATACATCTGATCTTTAACATGGTGCTGGCTACAGCTACACCAGGGAGGATTGGGAATCTGTTCTTGGAAATATTTAATACATTTTCCTGGAGAGAATTTGTAAGGTCAGACACTGATATTGGATGAACCGACCTGAACAGATCTCTCCTCTCATCTCGAAGGTCTTCTGAACGTCTCATGAATCACATTATGGAGCCACTGACCCATTCTGTCACAGACAGTTGCAAGTGTCTGCATCTGCATGACTAGGCGGCTGGATGGATTTCTGAACCTTTTGGCTACGTCTTGTACTTACTAAGAACTTTCCAAGAAAACGATGAGTGGTCTGACTTATTTACACTGCAGCATATTTTATGTCCAAAAGTTTTTGACTTTGGACTGCAAGATTTGCATGAAAAATCTTTCCAAACATTGGCCAAATGATTTCAAGATCATTTTAGCTATATTCTGATACAGTAGAATATAATTACTTTTAAACATTTAACATGTAATGAAGGTTTTGAAATTGCATGTCTTGATCCATGTTGATGAAATGACAACTATAAGTCACCTTGGTCCTTTGACTCGGCTTGAATGAGATCCTCCATGTTATCTTCAATTAGATCAGCGAGCTTATTGAGGACTTCTCCTCGCTGCTGTGGACTACGAGCTGACCAATCAGGGAAGGCTTCTTTAGCCGCTGCCACTGCCGCATCTACCTGCAGCCAAAAGATGGGCAGATAAATGGTTAAAATTAACGGTTCCATTATCAGTTGCACATACAGTACAGCAGATTTTCTAGTCCTTGGTAAAATTAGAGTTTGTTGGGATTTTAACTCATCCTGCCTGACAAAACTAAAGTGAGTAAGTTAGGTTTAACGTTTTTTAAAGGTTCTGAAATCAGGGCTTTGCGTTCTTAAGCTTTTTATACTTAATTTTGGAGTCTGTTTAGTTCAGTTTATTGCTCATTAAACCTCTATGATTTCTAAACTTATCTACAAAGATTTGACTCAAAGATATTTTGGACATTGTTTTTAAAGTCTGAGTTGTGTGTTAAGAGGAGACCAAGCAAAACATCTCCCTGCTATTGAGAGAGTCCCATTGGATTTTACAGACACTGCAAAAGCAAATAAGGATATACCTCAGTTTAACATTTTCTTACACAAATATAAAAAAAAACTTTGTTTTTAAAACAGTCAACTAAGCAACAACGGATAGCACCCTTCAATATTCCCACCCAGGGCAGAAAAGTCAGCTTTTATTGACTTGGGTAATGATTACTGGTGTGTTAAGGCTGCAAAGAGCAAAGGTACATCTTGCTGAAATGTTTTACAGCAGATGTCTAAATTAATCTGCTTTTGTGGTCAAAAAGGTTCTGTTTAAAATGTTTCAGCTGTCTCATTGAATATCAATAGCAACATTTACGATTGTCAAATTTTTACAATTATAAATATAAACATGATTTTAAAAGAGGAATATTTTAGTTGTTCATACATGTGGAGAAAAAAGGTAGAATAATGCACCTGAAGAACAAAATGCATGTTAGAGACACTAAAATGCATCATGTGACACTTTCCTACCTCCTCTTTGCCGCTGTCTGGTACTTTGCAGTAGACCTCAGCAGTGGAAGGGTCATAGGAGTCGATATGATTTCCACAAGACACAAACTTTCCGCCAATATAGTTCTCCAGAACCAAATAAGAGCGCGGTTCTGAGCTTTTGGGCATGGTTGTCGTCAAAAGAAGGCTTCCTAAAGAAACTGCACAAATGACAACAGGCTGCAACAGACTGGAGCCTCAGAGGCAAACCTGAGCAGGGCATGTACTGACACTCCCACAGAGCAGCTTTCTCTCTCAACAGAGTAGAGTTCACCAGTATTAGTGACTAACAATTTTTCCAAGTTAAAACAATGAATCGCAATGAAGCTGCTAGCACAACATGTAAAAGTAGGAAAGTTAGTTTTTCAGAGAAGATGCATATGAATAAAGAGGCTACTGAGATTCAACCAAATTCAAATTAATGCATGGATAAATCAATAAGAAAAACAATTCTAAACAATTTGGGGTTTTGTTCCAGAAAAATGTTTAATCAGGAGGATTAAAATAAATAAACAAATAAAAGTCAACCTCAGTGATCTTTACTGGCATTTGACCTTGTGAAAACAGAGGAAGAAGGCCCCAAACTTTTAGATAATGTTTAGTGTCCAACTAGCAAAGCACACCATACATTAGCTGCAGCCCTTGGAGCTGCAGCTGAAAATATAGCAAAAAACCACTAAGAGAATTAAAAATACTGTTTTCTCCACCAAGCATTTAAAGAAACAAATGTGCTAGCAAATCATGTATATATATCATGTATATATTAGAGCATCAGTGGCACAGTTGGTAGCACTGTCGTCTTGCAGGTCCTGGGTTCAATTCCCAGCCCAGGGTGTTCCTGTATGGAGTTTGCACGTTCCTATTGCATGCGTAAGTACTCTGGCTTCCTCCCAGTCCAAAAGTAATGGCCATCAGGTTTATTGAACTCTATGAAGTCTATGTAGGTGTGCGTGTGCATAATTGTTTGTTCTGTCTCTCTGTTGCCCTGTGACAGACTGATCGCTCACTGCTTGACTGCTGGAGATATGCACCAGCACCCATTGCAACCCCACCAGGGATAAGCATGTTAGATAATGGATGGATGAAATTGCATCACAAGAAATGACACTAAGCACCAATTATTGAGTTTCTTTTTCCGAAAGCCTGGTTTTTCAATTCTTGCAGCTCAAATACTTTCTGGAAGAAACGTAGAAAAAGAAAAGAAGAAACAATCAAATGAATAAGTGCCTCTTTGAGTTTAAACAATGTGTAGACCCATTTTTTTATCATGAAAAAAGGTGCCATTTCTAACTCAAATCTTAGCTTTTTATATCTGCATCTGCAGACCAACAGTGGAAAAAAAACAAAAAACACGTAGACAGGAATCAAAAAATTAGACATGTTGAAATTTATTTACCCTGGAAATACATAGCCTGTTGAATTTTCTGGATGTTGTTAGTGGTAGCTTTGACATGTTTTTATGCTGGTTTCCAGTTCAGTGAAGGAAGGCAAGCAGTAAACCCAGCATATTTCCAAGTGCTGCACATATTTACCCAAATGAGTCTGAAACTGATTTTTATACCTTTTTGTTTGTGTCAGCAAACCTTTGATGCCATTATTCTGTTGCCATTTTATAGTAGATTCAGTCTTTAAATCAAAACATTATCCATAAGCAGCTGATGCAGAGCTCATTTCACATCGTTTTCAACTAAAATAATTTAACATCCAGATGAGGTAAAAAGTAAAACAAAAAGCCCTTTAGTTGATGCCTTACTGTTCATTTAAAGAAGCATTTGAATTATCTTGTGTCTTCGTCTTTTACATAACCCTTTTTTGTTTAAACTAAAAATCATTCAAATGCTGTTCACCACCCGCACCCTCCTGAGAAAACTTAATATGAAAACATATTTAAGCATAAGACACTGTTTTTTTTTCCATCGTTTCCAAGCTCATGTATTTTTGAACCTTGATATTAATTTTTGAATAGAAAAGCCTAAAAAAATAGGTGCTGTGAACTGAATTATATTCAAATACAGAGAGATACTTTTGGACTTGTTCAAGAAGTAGACCACATCAGCTGCAGCTCCTTTAGTGTGAATACCTCAAGTAGAATTGGTCTGATTACGTATTACTGTATTAACTTTATTAGAAAGATGCTTGCTGGGTGAACTTAGTATTGATCGTGATGGTCAGGTCAAGCAGCCGCCGCAGCGTCATGGGAGAACAGGATGGATAAAAACGGTACTCTAACTCAGTGAGTGGCATCTCTTGGAAGAACTGCTCAGAGTTTGTGGCTGCAGGAATGCTGCCAAGCACGATCTGAATGGCTCTTTGTTCGTGGAAATGACCTTCATTCTTTGATCTGTGGTGAAGAGAAAATCACAATGAAACAGATGAGACTTTGTCTCAATATGGGAATATCAGTATGCAATCTGAGGTGTACGAGATACAAATAGTTTACATCACCAAAACAGTTCCGTCTTACCTCTGTGACGACACCTGCAGCGATGGTGGAGCCAACGTATCTCAACATGAAGCGGCCCAGTTCTTTATAGTCCTTGTACAGCTCTAATGACACCGGCCTCTGGGTCTGAATCTCCACAACTGCATTCATACCCTTACTCAAACACCTGAGCAAGAAACATGAGCAGGAGATGTGGATATGTGGGTATTTAACATAAAGTTTGACAATATGGAAAAATAACCACAATAACTAAAATTGAAGCCTTTGGTGTATAAAAAGTAATAAAAACTAAGGATAAGCAAACATTTATTACGACTTAAAATGTCTAACGATCACAACAAATAGGGGCTGGAGTGTCAGATAGAATATACCTTTTTGATTCCATCTTTTGTTTAATTAATTAAACTAGATTACATCTAATAAAACAAAGGTATTTTCCAGAGACGTCTGAAAGAAACTATTCAACATCAATATGGCAATATTTGTTTAAAAGAACTGAACATTTGATAGATGTCATATTTTTCTGACTATATATGTAATTCAATGTTTTATGCAAATATCACATGTGAAAATACAGAATTGACATTATTTATGAACCAAAATAATATATACTCATAAATTTTATTAACCAATACAAATGAACCGTAACACACACACCAACACACACAGTTACGTTGTGGTTTTAAATGTACGAGAAGCGGCATCAAAGTAACTCAGCGACTGAAGTTTACATTAATAAATGTATAAGAAATGCAGCGACACTCTTCCCAGAAACTCACTTTGGCTTTTTCTTTAGGATTTCACCACTGCTCTTGTGCAGAACGCTGATCAGTTTCCTAATAGTGGCCGGCTCGCTGACTGTCTGGTAATGCAACAGTACCTGTGCAAAAAAATAAATAAATAAATTTTAATTTTTAAGGTGTTCACACAAATGGTTATCACTCTCTTCCAGAGAGTTTCAACACAATGGGGTCATGTGTTGCTTTACTTAAAAAAAGAAAAACAAAAAAGGAGTCCAGAAGATGAAATTTTGGACATCTAAGGCAGAAGAAAATAATTACAAAGTTAGAAACAAAATACCATACAATCAACAGACATATTTTTATGAGTGCCATCACCAAAATCACAAACATGAAAGATGTTGAGTCAATGTTTTATTTATTATCGTAGAAGGAATTTCTAAACAGGTGAGTTTTTAGTCTTGATTTAAAAGAACTCAATGTTTCGGCTGTTTTGCAGTTTTCTGAAAGCTTATTCCAGATTTGTGGTGCATAGAAGCTGAATGCTGCTTCTCTGTTATTCATAAATTTCAAAATTAACAGATAAATGCTTGAAATGCGTCACTTTTAAAAAATTCATTTACAGATATAAACTTTTCACACTGGGAGTTCACATTTTATTTGTTTTGTTAAATGCTCAAACAATTATTTTTTTCTCGATATCTGCAGCGCAAAAAAGAAGAAAAAATATATATATATATTTTTCTGACTATATATGACACGTGAAATGCAAATGATGAGCTAGCGTCTGTGGGGCCCAGCGCCCCTCAGTTTACGAGAAAAAAAACAAAATAAGAAGATTAAGATAAGCACCTAAATGTTGACTTTTGCTTAAGTTCATGTAGAAGATCAACTTGGAAAAACTTCTAAAAGAAACACTCTTGTTACATAATGTCATAGGAGAAACACATAATTTCTATGAAAAAAAAAAAAAAAACTAAACAAAACTAAACAAAAAGAAGAAAACTGCTTATTCTCAATTCACCAGATTGAGAATAAGCAGTTTTGGGACACTTACTGGAAAGCCTTGTGTGATGGGAACCTCGATATTGAAGAGCAGGATTCTGGCTCTGAATCGAGTACAGACTCGAATCGGCTCTTTGGGATCACAGAACACACAGCCGACACTGTAGGGAAGCAGAATAACAAGCAGGCAGAATGCTTTGAGCTAAGAAGACGCATAAGGCTCTGTAAGACACCAACCACACAGACCCAAAAAGTGACGCTCTGTAGGTAGTTTAATAATAAAAATGAAACAACTTTTGTTATTAAAAATATTCTGTAGTTTTACTTAATCTTGATGATGTCCATTCCAGTGACTGTGAGGCTGACGTGGTCTCCGGCTACAGCCCAGTCCAGCGCCTCGTCGTGAAGAGTGATTCCTGCAGCACAAAGACACAGAGTGCAAGTCAGTCAGTGGCCACAGGGTGGCATTGTTTATCATCAGAAACAAAACAGACAACTGAACAAAATTGAAGCTCAATAAGTCATGTGAAACTTATTGAATTTCCTGCTTCCAAAAATAAATGTACTTCTAACATACAAGAAATTTTAAAAAGCATCAACTGATACAGATTCTGAGGGAACACGTTTTTGTTAAATAAACGGAGTTCTAGAGGAAAAGTATGACAAAGTGCTTACCTTTAACTGTGCAGGTTTCATTGGGAGGCATTGCCAGCATTTTGTCTCCTGTCTGAATAAAACCAGCCTCAATCTTCCCTGTAACACAGAAGCCTGAGCCCTGATCTGCAAATAGATTCACATGTGTAAGGACGTGTATGTAAAAATATGAAAAGAAAGAGACGTCTGCAACATTTTTAACATGCAAAGGTGATTTTTACCTTTGAACACATCTGAGACGCACAGTCTGAAAGGTTTGTCTATTGACCGCTGAGGGGCTTTGAATGCATCTTGAGGGAAAAAAATAGCAGACAGAAAAGGAGGAAGTCAAAACCATCAGTAGTAGGAAGAAGACTGGTAAATATTATGAAAAGTCTGATAACATATGGCACTGAATCATTTTCTGTGGTACCAGACAAGATGGTCAGCACTTTGACAGACACGACTCAGTAAACAAGCATGCAAAACTAGACAAAAAAAAAAAACTTGATACATCACTGAATTTAGCAATGTGCTGGGACAAAACTTTTTACTCAGAAGAGTTAAAAAGAAACTATCCCATGTTTTCAGGAAAGGAAGGTGCAAACAACATGCAAAAAAAAAAATAAAAAATCTCAAATCGGTTTGCAAATTTGTAGTTTGCAATGTTATTTGTCAAAATAGAGATGCATTAAAGTGCCAAACTGCTTTAAAAGCCATTGAGTGTGGATTACCAATCTGCTCCAGCAGGCTGTGTCCGCTGTACCAAGATGTCAGCTCTGATACTGTGCTTCTGGCAGTGAGATTTTCTCCTGAGAGGCCACTGGTGGGGATGAAGAAAACATCGGACTCCTGGAGAAATAGACAAGTCCGGGATGAAACCAAACAAGGACAGAAAAATACTTTTTCCAGCCCAATGTTCATAGCAGCATTAGAGCAATAACACTGGCTGACAGGTTTGGTTCAAACCCACCTTGAATCCTGCCTGCTTTAGAAAATGGCCAAGTTTTGAGCTGATTTCTCTGAAACGCTCCTCTTGCCAGTTTACCTAAATAAGAGACACACACAAAGGAAAGAAAACAAAAAGAAAGTTTCCCCGTCAGCAAGGCGGCGAAATCAAAATTTGTCAGCAACATACCGGAGATTATAGGAAACAAAAAGACACAAATGCAGTTTCATAATGCTGCTTTTGCATTGAATAGAAACATGTCAGTATAAAACGGATTGTGCTGAAACTCAGAGTATATATTTGATCAACTGTAATTGTAACACAAATGCCAATTTGGATCTTTTGCTACCTTGTGTTTTCTTTCTTCAGAAATTAAAAATAGTAATATATAATAATTACTAGAAAGCCAATAAACCTAAGTGAAAAAAGTAATCACCTGGGATTATTTAAATAAATAATGAAAAACATGCCGTCCTATGAACTCAATCGAAATTTAACTTGAATCACTTTTCACATATATTATTTTAGCTTAAACAAATATTTGAATATTTATTAATAAAGCTTTAAAACTTATATTAAATATCAAACTAAAGACATTAAAAGACATACAAGTATAGTAGAACTGTGATGCACTGCAACAAGTATTTTTTTGAAAGGAAAAAAGCATTTTTTGTTTTGTATAGTTATTGAATTTTCAGCATCCCAAACATCCATCTGTAAATATAAATAAAGATTAACCTCACAAGAGCATACCTCTCACCAGTTTTCACAAACTATAACCGCATGAAAAAATATAGAAATATTCCGCGAACCCGTTCAGATATAGATGGATCAGAGAAGCAGATGTTACCTGGTCCATCTTGTTTACAGCTACAGCCAGCTGAGTGACACCCAGCGAACGCACCAGCAGGGCGTGCTCTCTGGTCTGACCCCCGGCTTCAAAGCCTGCCTCGAACTCTCCTCTGCTGGCGTCCACCACGAGCACCGCAACATCAGCCTGGAGGAAAAAACGACGAGGGCCATGAGAAACATAAGAGGCTACAAAATAACAGTGTTGTGTTTGACTTTAACTGCAAACACAACACTCGGGTTGTGTTTGCAGCAACAACAGTTGCCTTTACAGAACAGGTTAAATTACACACAGGTGGATTCTATACACTAATAATGTCACCTCTAATTGTTTGTAATTGATTTTATTAAGGGGTTCAGCCTGCTGAACATAAATGCAGGCTTTGATTTGTAAGAAATTTGGAAAGAAAAAACATGTCTCTTTTTCGCTCCACTTCATAACTGTGTGACACTGTAGTGGTATTTGATTTAAAAAATAATAATAATAATTAAATAATAAAATAAAATAAAAACTAAAAACATGCAAAACATGAGTTTATACTCCCGTTATAAAAAGACAGCACAGATGTGCAATATTAAGTTCAAACCTACAATAAATTCTAATATTTAAGGTAAAGGTAAGTACCACCAAACATGCAAGGCATCTGAGTAGCTTGAAGGCCGAGTTGTGTCACTCTTTCAGAAATGAACCCAGAAAGCTGTGTCAGACCCAGAGTTGTATTTTGCCTCGACTGTGCTGCTACACTTATCATTTAGAAACTGTATGTAGCTGCTACCAGGTGTCACTATGATAAAAGTGAATATATTACAGAGTGGCTGAATACCTTGTGTTGTTTTTTTTGTTTGTTTTTTTTTATAAAATATGGTGTCTGAAAAGTGTTACATGTTTTGCTCCTACATTTCATTCTTTGTGGATGAAGCTTTTACGCACTCATTTCTTGAGTCATGAGCTGCTGTGATGCATTGTGGGATATGCAGTGTGGTTGGTGTGACTGCAATCTAAACAACTGGTGGGCTCATTAAAAAAAAGACTTGAAATGTTCTAATGGGTCAGATCATCAGCAGCAGCAGCCTTATTTATAAATAGCTTTAATACCAGTCTGAGCTGAACAGAGTCAATATCATGAGAGATCAATATGAGACAAGAAAACATCAAATAAATGTAGAAGAATTAAAAACCTAACACAAACAGTCAAACAGATAAAATCTATACCAATAAAAGTTGAGTAAAATGAAGTTTCAGTGGGGTTGAAGGCCAATGAGTAATAATAAGATGTAGCATCAGCTTGACACGTCTTCCATAGAGCAATGTTTTGTAAAAACTAAACCATTAACTGGCACTGGCAAAAAAAAAAAAACTGTCAATTAATATAAAGCACAGTGAACCTGTTGCAGAATTTTGATATCCATGTATCAAAGTATTCTGGTGGTTAATGTTGAACAGCTAAAGTTTCCTTTAAAGTCATGAAGCAGGACGATGGTCCCAAACTTGTAAGCAAATCTAAACTGGAATGTCTGAAAAATAAATTAATAAGGGTGATTACTCACAGTCTGATTTGTGATGTCAAGCCAAATAAAATGCTGTGAACTGACCTCATGAAAACTGTGTTCAGACGAGTTCCAAAAAGCACTCAATGAATAAAGGCCAGACTGTAGAGAGCTAAAACCCCAGATAATGTTGTGAAACCCTGATAAGATCTTGCAGAAGTCATTCAGATGGTTTAATAAGTTGCTGAATCATGCGGTTGTGTTTTCCACACACTCTTTCTGCATGTAAACACATATCAGTTAAAATATATGTTTTCAACAAAGTAAATTCACCCTCTAATATTGGCTGCAAAAACTAAAATTTACCCAAGAATTTATAAACAAACATATATGATACAATAAATGTCTTTTCAGGCCCACATATCATGGATGTGATCATGACTAAGGAGTTTGTCTGAAACAGAAACCCCTTACTCACTACAGAAAGAGGCTAAACGTGAGGACAGTCATACAGAAAAAAGAGAAATTACACAAATTCTTCATGAAAAAAAGACAGGAGACAAGCACACCCATGCCTGCAAAGACATCTGGTGACACAGCAGCAAAAACCACAGAAGTGATGCTGACGGGTGTGGCAAGATGTTGGTGCCCAGAGCACAAGGGAGGGGCAGAAAAGATTTGAATCAAGAGGCTTGTTAAGATATGAGAGGAGTAGTCTCTTGTAAAATATATCCTAGGTTATTAAGCTAACAGTTAGTATCCTAAGTAACCCATAAACAACAAAACATTCTAGTAAGATGTTCATGTTAAAAATTGCACTAGAAGCAGATATTTATTGTAAAGACATGTACATTATAGTTGCTGATAATCCAAAATTCATTAAAAATGCTACTTGTAAAATTAAAATGAACAGAATCATCAAAAAGTCTAAACTGTATGTGCTATTCTTCAGAATGTCTGCCATCACTGTCCCAGTGTTCTCCAGTAACAGCAGTCAGTTAATGGCTTCACTTATATGTAGTGTGCAGGCTGCTTAGAGTTTGGCTGGGTGTACCTGTGCAGCGCCTGTGATCATGTTGGGAATGAAGTCTTTGTGTCCCGGAGCGTCCATTAGAGTCACCACCTTAGAGTTTGTCTCAAACTTCGTCATGCCCACATCCATTGTCACCCCTCTGGAGTAAAACGCAAAACAATTCAAGATATTTCAACCACCTGTTCTTATCAGATTAAAAATAACTAAACTTACATGCGTATCAAGTGTAAAAAGTGAATAAACAAGGAAATCCTGCTATCAGATTGCTGAGTCGTCTAAAAACGGTTTGATGCAGATTTAAAACTAGGTGTGGCTCTCCGATATCGTGTGTCTACTTCAGATGTTACTGATGAGTACGGATGTATTCCCACCCATGTCACTTTCTGTTTCTGAAAATATTTTGCTTCCGTTTTGCTCTCGTAATAAAAACAGCAACTCACTGAAGTATTCATACCCCTTGAACCTCTTCTCATTTTATTGTACTTCATTTGCATTTGGTACAATAAACCTGGTTTTTAACACTTTTAGAAAGAAAGAAAATTAAAAGTGTGACACGCAGTGACATTCACAGTACCCAGCAGCAGAGTCAAAACTTTTAAAAAACATATTTTTCAGCAGTTACTTCTGCAAGTCTCTTGGGGTGTACATCAATAGGCTACTTTTGACCATTTTTGCTTGGGCTAGAGGTTTATTTGCTGAATGGAGAGACAGAGCAATGTAATCATCAACTGTCAAGTCAGTCACAGGTTCTGAATTAGGGTTAGGTCTGTGGTATCTTTATGGTCACCTGGTCCCAAAGTCTTTTGCAATAACAAAATGGTTTTGTAACAATCAACATACTATTTAGCTCTTATTAAGATCTCTTGCAGTGTCACTCAATAATATTGAAATTATTTCTAGACAAAGAAAGCATTGCTTCAAAGATTTTACTAGTGTAACACACCAAATTTCAAGTTTATCCAATCAGTTTTGTGACCAACATGAGAAAATGCAAAAAGGTTCAGTGGATATGAATTATTTTTTAAGACATTGTATTTTTATATTTGAACTGCTATTACAACATTTCATTGTATTTATTGTTTTGTTGGGTCTTTTTGATGAACATGGTGATCCTTTGTGTGCTGTGGATCAAGGAGAAGTTAATAGTATGAATAGATGGCAATATTTTTTATAGCACTGAGTCATGTTGGGCCCTATTCACGATCATCAAAACCATTTGTGTGCATCTCAACTTTTTTTGCAGTTTTAACAATCAGACGATAGCTACCTGTCCCTCTCCTCGCCGGTTTCATCCAGAACCCAGGCGTAGGCAAAGGAGGCCTTTCCGGCCTTTTTCGACTCCTGTTCATACTTGTGCATGGTGCGCTTGTTGACGTTCCCCAGCAGATAAAGCAAGTGGCCCATTAGGGTGCTCTTACCTGCATCCACATGACCTGCAGAGAAGACAGATAACAAATGAGGCAAGGTAGTTTTGAAACAAAGCTGAGGATGCTGAGTGGATGTAGGGCGGTGAGGACAGATAAAGAAAGGAGGAAGAATGTTCTAATGATGATAAGCTAGGTAGCAGAGGGGAGAAGATAAAACATGGCAAAGAGAACCCACAGGCGAGAGAAGGAAACAGAAGAATTGTGCAAGTGGAGAGGCAGACAAGAAATGGGAACAAGGATGAAGGGTGACAGGGGGAGGGGGACCGTGGTAACACGAATGGTTTCATTCTCTATGGGAAACTAGAATCATCTGCACTTCTGAAACTACCAAGTCGCTTTTTCTGGTGTAACTGAGAATGAAAAGATGATTGAGCAACTGTGCTGGTCTGAAGTCAACACATTCAAGCATACCAAACATGGGCAAAACTAAAACAGCAACACTGATAATAAAGGTGCAACTAATCTTCCTTTATTTTATTGCTCAGCTTCTTGCACAAAAACAACTGTCTTAACTGAAGGACATTTTTTGTAACTCTTGTACATAAAGATATTTGCTCCAAATTACTTTCCCAAAAGAACTGTAATTTCATCCTACCTATAACTACTAAATTTAACAGAGGTTTGCCCCCTTGTCTCCTCTCCAGCTCTGCCTTGATGTTGATCGCCTGTCGCGTCTTTCCAGAGGAGCGTCCTGGTGTAGCAGCGGCGGAGACCTCGTCTCCATTGGATGCTTTGGATGGGGTCTCGGGTCGTTTGGGTGCAGGCTCAGCAACTGGAGTCGCCTTGGTGTTTTCAGGGCTGTCACCTCGCCGTGCTGGGCTGGCGACAACGCCGTTTTCCCCTGAGCTGAGGAGGGCATTTCATGTTTTGTCAGTGTAAAACAATGAATATTATGATCTGAGTCACAAATATGAAATCAAAGCATGTTAAAAAGAATCTTATTTAATAAGAATATTATTGAAAAGTTCATGTTTAGCAATTCATAAGGTGAGACTCCATATATTACATAAAAGGTTGCACAGGTGATTTCTGTTTATTTCACTTAAAGCTTAGTCACTAAAATAAAAAAATATCCTAAATCACATCTTTCATAATAATGTAAACTACAAAATATCACTACTAAAGAAGTTGTTTGTTCACAGAGCACTGCTCTGAAGTAAAATTGCCTTCGTAAAAATGAAATGCTGTACAAGTGGACGTACAAGTATCAGGGAAAACAGCAGTCTTGACAGTATTGCGAAGCAAAGCTCATTCAGGAGTTTGAAGGAGATTCACAAGGCAAGGACTGTTACTGATGTCAGTCCCCCACGAGCTGGATAGTTTTCATGTCCAAATATCCAGGACATGAAAAATTGGACATGAAAGCAAGAATCCAAGATGTGAGGTTCGTACTATGGTTTGCCAAAGACATTGATGATTTGGGGAGTGATGTCTTCAGCTGGTGTTGGCCTTCTGGTTTTTGTCAAGTCCAAAATCAGTTCAGCCATCTGCCATCTGGACATTTGTTTATAAAGATGCTGTTTCCTTTGCCAGCAGGCCTTGGTATCTGTTGAAGAAGACACTAGGCCTATCCATTTAGGAAAGATAAAGCCCAGCTATACCAAGCTGTGCTTTCATTACACCTTAAACAGAGCGACAGGGTGATCACCTCTTTCAGCGTTGCATTATTACAGGAACTCATGCAAAGGGAAGCCTAACCATGTACTATATGAATATAGCGAGCAATATGAGTTTTATATTTGGAATAGAAATATTGATCTTAACTTTTTGAGAGTAGTCTCCTTTACTAATTTTCCATATTTGAGAGGGAAAAGGGTTTAATATACCTGGGAACATCGAAGCCCATAGTCTGCTTCTTGCCAGAGACGGTCATCCTGGCCACTTTGGGAACCACTTCGGAGTCCAGTTTATCAGGAGCCGCATCTCTGCTTTTTGCTACGAGAGTAATGAGCAAACAAAAGCAACCATGATTTACCTGCAACAAGGCGTAAAACTGGGAGAAGACTGCAACTGAGAATGGGCTTCAGTGCATACCTCTCACTGTTCACTGTCAGTTGAAGTCAGTGAGGAAAACATTTGTATGGATTCAGAAAACTGCATACTACATGTCATACATAACCTAGATGATTTAAGTCAAACGTAAAACCCTGGGACTTTATAAAGCTGATAACTGTACCGGTCACAGTTGCACATAGGCGTGTATGGTAGATATTTGAGAGAAGTGAGAGTGCACGGTGGAACCTGCTGTGCTGTGAATCTCCCGTCTATCAGATCGGAAGCTCATATTGTGCAGCAAAGAGACTAGTTGAGGTCATTGCTTTGTCATCCCAGTCCCGAATGGCCACCGCTCCCACTCATATCGACAGGTTTCTGATTCATTCAGACTGGGTTGCACAGCCAAGCCTACTGCACAATGTGTTCATGTGTGTTACATCCTGGCTCAGAAAGGGTTAATTTCAGAAGTGGCCGTTGCCTCCCGACTCTACGTAAATAGATCAGCGTGATGCAGCATTTCACAGAATGAATCCTTTTGAAAAGGTGTCACCTCAGCAAGTGCAGAAACGGAGGTGAAAGCATTTTTTTTTTTACTTACTACTGATTAAAAGACAAATCTAGTCAGATAGTTTCTATTTCAAAAAGCAGCCAGAGAATATATTTCTTTTATATTTTTTCAGTAAAGCCATCAAAGGTAAAGAAGCAGCCTTTAGCTGCAATGTCTTATTTTATTCATACTGTAGATTTAATTAAACACATACATCAGTACTTAAAAAAATACCCTTAGGAAAAATAAGAGGAGTGATTCAACAGAATATTAATGGGCTTTCTCTAACCAAGTAGTCTCTGAATGACTTGTCCTGAATTTAAGAAAAAGTCCCTTTCTTTCTGAAAGATAGATATGCAACTCACTGCACTCTGATGAGGACGTTTTTCCCCCTACATAAAGAAGAAGCACATCTATGGTCACAAACTGAACCTTATCATTATGTAAAAAAAAATCATTATTCTGAGCACAAAAGACTTAAGAAATTATTTTAATTATTTTTAAATAACACTTTAGGATGATGTCTGTCACTACATCTCATGTATCATCTCCACTCAAATATGTAACATGACACAGAAAAGAGTTCACTGGGGAATTTCACTACTTCCTGCAGCTGGTTTTTTTTTTTCTTGTCCATACAAACTAAAACTTCAGATGTTTCAATAACCTTCAATAAAAAGAACAGTAGCAAATCCACACCTACAGTCCTGTGAAAAGTTTTTGTCAAATTTTAGCTCAAACTAATCAAGAGAACACAAAGCTTACTAAATACTGTAGCTGTATACGTAGAGTTTGTTCTGAGTTAATCTGGGGCCTTCTGCATGTGTCATCAATACTCTCTTGAGTAAATTTGGTAGACTGGCCACTCCTGGGAAGGTTCTCCACTTTTCCATGTTTTCTCCCTGTAGTTTGGTGGGGTCCCAAAGCCTCAAACATTGTTTTGTAACCCTGGTCAATAACTTTGACTCTCATACCTTATTGATTTTCTGTAGCTAAAACCACAATGTGCTGCCACATAGAATCTATTCGCCTTCTTCTTTTTGTCAGTCAGATTTTATTTAAGAGACTTCAAGTGGCTTTAACATTTGTTGGGATTTTCTGAAACATACATGCATGACAAAATCTATTATAAGGCAAATACATTTTTTACAGCAATGTATTTGAAAAATTTTGGAAATTATCTGAGGAACAAAGTAATATAAATTATCAGCTAAAAATCTCTTTTTGACAGACCTTAATTTAACATGCTTTCCGATCTGTCTGATGCTATCCTATCTTCACCATTATCTTAAGATATAAGAGACCTTCTCCACGACCAACAGTCAGTTTGATCTTTAAAATGTGATAATACTTAAGCAAATAATGGAGCACTAAGATGTTTGTTTTTTTTTTTTCCCTGGTTTATTTTTTCAGCAGCTTGCCTAAGGGTAATATTAACTGCTCGGTAGCTTAAAAAAATGCTTGTATACACATTCAACCTTTGACCCTTGAAGCAGGATCTCTTTTCACTGTTTGGATTGTAAAGTAGACATTTGGCATGCTCCCATCCAGGATTTCTTTAGAAAAGGGGACCCTTGCAGTGAGTCATCTGCACACTTGGCCTGAGGGCCAAACTTTGAGCAGCATAAAAGGAGTCCGCCCAGGATATGCAAACACTGAGCATCCCTTCCCCCCTCAAATAAACACTAGAGTATAGATAAAAGTTACAAGACGCATTAGTGAAATGGTGAGAAAATGTGTAGACACATAGCTACAGGTGCAAAATATGGAACGAGGGAAAGACATAAAAACAAGAAATTAACATCCTACATTGTATGTTTATCTGCATGTAATCTTTGGAGTTGTTTGTGAAGTTCATCCCAATACTAAAATCAACTCAATGGTGTTCTTAAATTCAATATTTGAACATCTTAAATCTCTTAAGTTTACTTTCAACTGTATTTTTGTCTTAATAGAAAGATAGGAAAAAGGAGAATTCAAAAGATGGACTGAGCTTACCACTGGAGGCCGCTAAAGACTTTGTGAGACAGGAACTGGTAAAATGAGTCTTTTCAAAAGAGGGAAATGTGTGGGGACAGAAAGGGGGAAAACACCCAAATCAATACTTGTACTGAAAACTTGATGCTTGCGCCAACACAACATAAGTAAATTATTTGTTACAGATAACATAGTTGAAATACAATATTCACTACAAAAGAAAAGTTTATTTTCTTACTTTCTAACCTTTCAATCAAACTAAAACTTTATTGCTGTACAGCAGTTATGATTATCCACAATGTCTGTACTTTCGATCATTTTTATTTGCTTTTGTTCAAAGTCCGAAACACACTGAGATACGTATGTCTAGACACAGTTTGGAAAAGCCTAGATGATTACATCATAGTTTTATAAGCATTTAAAGAGATGTAGAATACAAGTATGGATATGTTTTCAGGCAACACCCCAAGAATACCAGATCCTGGTGTGACATTGTGAATAAATAAATAAATAAGTCATAAATGTAAACCTCAACAACCTCAATTCATATCTGATGCAATTCACCAGATACTTGAAGATCCCACATTGATCTGTTCAAACAATTATAAACAAGTATAAACACCACTGGAATGTCCAGGCAGTATGCAGATCAGAGAAACACTGGTTCCATTCCCCAGAGATGAATGTGTTTCAATGCAAAATGTGGGCATCCATTACAGAACAAAAGACCTTGTCAAGATACAGGCTGAACCTGGTAAAGGTCATTGTCCAGAGTAAAATGACCTTTATGGTCATGGGCTGAAAGGCAGCTCAGAGTTGATGAAGCCAGAACTCAAAAAGCAACATGAAAAGACAGATTAGTTTGTGGAAGGTGTCTGATAGGAACTAAGCTTTAAGAGTTTTACAATAATGATTTTTCCATTTGGCAGAGGAAAACTGACAACCATGAGAACACCAAAAACTAATGGACTCATAATGAAAGAACATCATTTTTGAAATAATGAAGCAACATCTAAACATACCAGTCAAGTAAGTTTGCATGGGTGAAAATGAGTCTTTCAAATGAACATTTAACACACCATCACATTGTAAATGAAATGGATTAAGGGCAACAAAGTCAATAATTGGGAGTGGCAAAGCCCTGATCTCAGTCCCTTATGTGGGCAGAGTTGAAAAGGCAAGTGCCAGCAAGGCAGTCTGCAAACCGGACTCAGTTGTGCAAGTTCTTTCTGGAGGAATGGGCAACAATTCCAGCAAGATGTGAGAAGCTTAAGATAGGACACTCAAAAACACTCGACCAAAGTCAGAGCATATTGAGGCAATCTTATCAAATCCTCAAAGAATGCATGTAAACTTAGGCACCTTAAGAAATGTATTAAACGTTCTAAAATATGTACTCAAATCATTTTAGCCATTTAGCAAAATTATATATTTTTGAGAATCTTGAAAGAGAGTTAAGGGAACAAAAATGGTTACATGGCTTTTTTATAAAGTTCATGTAAATATCTGGTTTCAGTTGTACAGTAATGAAATTTATCTAATTCCTTGCTTGTTTTGTTGACATTGATCTGCTTCTTGAAGCAAAGATATGAGAGAACCTGTGACATCACCTGGGAATTAAATTTCATTCATACTGAAATACCGAAGGCATGAATGAAAACGATTGCTAAGGAAATGAGATTGGTACCTGAGGAAAAGGCTTTGAAGGCCTATGTGACCCCTTTTCAAAATGAGTCACCCAGACATCACCATCTGTGAACCTGTCAGGACTTATCTAAACATCCCCTTCTCCCACCTACTCAGCACACACTCATCTTTGAGTCAGAATTTCTTTAAAACTCACACATACCGTTTTTAAATGTGTAAATAAAACTTAATGGAAAAAAAACAGCACTTACAATGTCCTCACCTCAACAGGTACAATGTCAAGGCAAAGTTTTATTTATGTTTACAAATAACACAAACTGCTTTGAACAAGATACTAATTAGCTTCTTTCTGCTACAACCTTAAAACTTTTAGGTTCCCACAAGTGGAGACCTATTTCTTTCTGAAGATTTGCAAAAGAGGACAATTTATTTTTTCCACCTTGGTAAACGTTTTAGCAACGTCATCCCAATACTCCTAACAGCATCAAAAAAAAAAGAAAAAAAACAACACAAGCATTTATTTTCTCCTGAGCTATTGAACCAACACTGACCAACAACTTTAAAACCAACACATTTAATCCTTCTTCCATAAAATCTGATTCACGGACAGTTTATTTACAGTTGACACTTTCCATATTTTCATGCTTCCAAACTCCTCTCCTAACATCTGCCTTACTCCTAAACTGAATTTAGAAGTTCAATTTTAAACAAGAAGAAGAACTGATGAACTCTCTTTACAATTGTATTCAGAATTTTTGGTATCGAGTCT